CGTCAGGTATACCTCAAAATCTGAAAACTAAGTTGTACAACCAGTGCGTGTTGCCAGTGATGACTAACGGAACCGAGACGTGTTCTTTTACTGCTGGCCCTATGTGGACGCTCAAAGTCGCTCAGCGAGCTATGGAGAGGGCTATGCTCGGAGTTTGCGTGATAAACTTAGAAATGAGGATATCCGCAGTAGAACCAGAGTGACCGACATAACCCAACGGATTAGTAAGCTGAAGTGGCAATGGGCCGGCCATATAGCTCGAAGAACCGACAACCGTTGAGGAAAAAAGGTTCTCGAGTGGCAGCCTCGTACCGGTAGACGAAGTGTAGGGCGACGCCCCACCAGATGGAGTGACGACCTGGTAAGACATGCAGGAAGTCGATGGATGCAGGTGGCTCAGGACCGTGCTTTGTGGCATACCTTGGGGGAGGCCTATGTTCAGCAGTGGACTTGTAAAGGGCTGTAATGATGATGATGATGATGATGATAGGAGCTTGTGCCGTCTAAAACGACTTTGATGCTCCGATCTGTAAGAAAGCTGGTAATCCAATTGCACAAAATCTCGGGAAGCCCATAGGAAAGAAGAAGAAGCTTCGAAAGAAGCGCTTTGTGCCAAACCCGATCGAAGATCTTCGCAATGTCCAAACTAACGGCCAATGCCTCCCCCTTGGACTCTACTGCCACCGCCCATCTATGAGTCAGGTAGACCAGAAGATCACCAGCTGATCGACCACGCCGAAAACCGTATTGGCGATCACTAATCAGCTGGTGATTCTCAAGGTACCTCATGAGCTGGCAGTTTACAACGGATTTCATTATTTTGGAGAACAAGGAGGTGATTGTGATGGACCTGTAACTGGACGGGTCTGGGCGGTCGCCTTTTTTAGGGATCGGATGGGCGAACGCCGTCTTCCATGATTTTGAGACTACGCCTAGGCAGTAGGAGTACCGGAGAAGAAAAGCGTTAAGACCGGTGCTAACTCTGGAGTACACGTCCTCAGCACAATTGGGGGATAAAGTCAGGCCCACTCGACTTGTGGATGTCCAGGGAAAGGAGTGGCATGGAGCACTCAAACCGCGGGATCGTCCGTGGCGTACTCCCCCCGTCATTGTGAGTCGAGTTGGACGCAAAGAAAGAGGCTAGCAGATCGGCTTTCTCCTTTGCGGTATGGGCTAGTAAATCGTCTTCCCTCTGCAGAGATGGTAGAGATGGCTGACAGAAATTCCCCTGGCCAGCCTTGGCGAGAAACCAGAATGCACGGGTTCCAGAAGGAAGGCGAACTAGTTTCTTGCCAATTCTGCCTACGTGCTCTGACTTTGCCTTGGAAATGACTCTTTTGAAGGTCCTGGAAGCGGAATTATACTTCTTTTTTAGAGCGCTGGTGTTTACATCCCGGGACGTTGATGCGTCAGCCCAGGCTTGGTAGCACTCCTGCTTATAGCATGATGCTATTTTACAGGAGCGATCAAACTATAGCTGAGATTTGCTTCCGGTGGGCACTACAGAGTAAGGAATAAAAAGTTACTCTGGAGTAGAAGTTATACCCTGAATTACCACATCAACGACAGAATCAGCTACAACGTTGGGATCGTCCGGCGAGAAGCAAGCCCGCCCCCAAGGGTAGGATGCAAAGAAAGACCGCATCCTATTCCAATCGGCTGAACCTATAGTGCCAAACACTGTGGCAGCCTGCAGAATGCAACCGCGATTTCAGCGTGAATGGCACCAAACTTCAGACAAGACAATGGTCCAAGGAGCCTAAAGGGGCGTCGACTAAAATCTGTTATCTGTCCTGATTAGAGGTCAGCAGAAGGTCCAACAGTGAAGGTGTATGATTCTCCACATCTGGAATCCGCGTAGGCGAAGTAACCAGTTGTGTCAGACCATACGCTAAGGCAAAATCGTGGACAGACCTCCCCGCATGATCGGTTAAACGTGAACGAAGCCACTTAGCGTGGTGGGCGTTAAAATCGCTGAGGATCACGATTTCTGCGGAGGGGATCTGCTGTAACAAAGAATCTGTAGCCATGTGGACGTGGTCGAAGAGTCAGTCTGCTTCGGGACCTATGGGATGCAAAAAAGGATTTTAGCGCCCCTTAAGACATTTTGGATCATGTTTTTTTATTTATTTTTCGAAGGTAAGTAGCTAGGTGCTTGAAATAAAGCAAAAAAACTGAACTTTGGAAGTCATATATATTTGTAGACTAAAATATCAAAATGAAACAAACAGATTAAAATCATAACAAAATAAATTTTTGTTCATACCCATTTTAAAGCATTTACGTAACTAATGGGGTACAGACACGTGTTGTTTAGCGGAAAGTTGCAAAGAAATTTATATTTTTATTTTTTACTAGAAAATAACCCAAAACTAAAAAGCATATCTTTTTTAGGAACAAATAACAGAAATATTGTCTAATGTCTACATATATATAAGTAATTCTTTCTACTTATACTTAGATATTTTAAAAATTATGCAATATGCTATGCAGATACTTCTGATAAAAATACCTAGGTAACTTCGTTATAAATATATATAAACTTTGAAAGATGAATGTGGGTTAAGAATGGGCGAGGTAACCGTCAAATGCCTTTTGTATGCCGATGATCAAGTCATATTTGCGTCATTGGCGGCTGAGTTGCAAATGATGGTTACATTAATGAACTGGGAATTAAAAGAAAGGGGAATGAAAGTGAACGCAAGTAAGCCGAAAGTGATGGTTTTTGAAAGAGAAGAAAGCAAAACGGTATGTGAAATAAGAATAGAAGGAGAGTTAATTGAGCAAGTGGATGAGTTTGTGTATTTGGGATATGTATTTAGCAGGGATGGTAGATATGATAGGAATATAGAACGATGAGTAAATGCAGGGAATAGAGTGAATGGGGCACTACACTCTATTATGAAGAACCAGAATGTGTCAAAAAAGGCACGTATGGTAATTCATAATGCTGTGTTAGTTCCCTACTTTAATGTATGGTAGTGAAAGCTGGGTGTGGCAGAAGAAGCACGAAAGTAGAATAAATGCTGTAGAAATGCGGTCTCTAAGGAGTATGCTAGGGTTGAATCTGAATGACAGGGTGAGAAATTGCGTGATAAAAGATAAATGTGGTATGCAAGATGATGTTGTGACCAAGATTAAGAAAGGAATGCTTCGGTGGTTTGGTCATGTAGAAAGAATGAATGAGGAAAGAGTGGCAAAGCAAATTTATATGGCAGATGTGAACGGCCGAGTCGGGAAGGGACGCCCTAGAAAAAAGTTTATCGACCAAATTGGCGATATTTTGAAAAGGGGCCACGTTAGAAGTACCCTTAACCGACGAGCATGTATGCGTAGATATATGGATGTAAAGGAGGCGAAAGAGGTATGTCAGGATCGTGCCAAATGGAAGTCCGTAATCTCTGCCTACCCCTCTGGGTGACAGGCGTGAGTGTTTGTGTATGTATATGTAACTTCGTTATAAAATCAAAAATGATAGCTAGGTACAATAGAAAAATACAAAATAGCTATTGTAGCAGTGATATTTTCCGAGACTTTGCTACTGCAAATTCATTAATTACATCGCTAAAAATACCATTAATTCTTGTTCGTCTATAATCGATAGCCCAGACAATCTTTCTTGAAGCATTGTCGATCTTAAATAATTTTTAATGATTTATAACTTTGAAAAAGATACAGATAGCTACAGAAGCTACAGATACAGGTAATGTCAGAAGAATTCTTAGTAAATTAAGGGGTCAGTATCATCAGGTAATGAAAACAATTTTAACGCTTTAATTTTATTAAACAAATCATTGGAGTATATATCTTTATTATCCTGATCTGTCCTATATCGGTATCACTTAATTTGAATATGTCGCTAAAAATCCGAAAATATTATCATACTCATTTAATAAGTCAAATCGATTTTTTAGAGAGTTTAATGTTTGATCTATAATTTTTAAGAAAAAACTAATTTTAAAGGTAGTTTTTGGATCATAAGGGGTCTCATCTCGGTGTTCGTAGTTAAACAGTTTTGATTTAAATTTCCTCCTGACCGTTGGTAGCGGTGGAAAGTTTTCTTCAATTTCGAGAGAGAGTGTGCTACTTCTTTAGCTTGTACAAGAATTTCTTCAAACGATTGGTCAGATCTATATTGCTGGAAGTGATCAACTAAATTTTAGGTATTTTTGGCATACTTTAATATTAATTGTAGCACTTTGAATTTGTTTACTGACAATATTTATGTGAAATAAAACGTCATGCCGAATAATAATTCCACAAATAAATTGAAATTTTTGAACAGCCGTTAAGAGGGAACTCGCTTTATGTCTTGCATCAATGAGAATGGAGTTATCTGCAGCTACTTCTAAAAGTCTTTCGCAAACCTTAATTAAATAAAGTTTAAGGGGCTTTATTGAAACTATTCTGCTGGACCATATTGTCTCACTTAGAGGCTTTAAACATTTTTTCTCAGAATATCCCACTTTTTTTTTTGGATGACGAAAAAAATTATAAAACTCTTGAACAAGATTAAAAAAGTTTATTGTAGCATCTGATACTTTAGAAGCATCATTTACTGTTAAGTTCAAAGTATGAGCCGCACAAGGTACAAAAAGGGCGTCAAGAATGCGTTTTTGAAGCCCAACATGCTGTCCCTTCTTGTTTGCCCCATTATCAAAACCTTGTCCCCTAATATTTTTCATATCTAAATTTAATTTTTTCAAAATGTCTGTCACAAGTATATCCCTTTCCCTGTAGAGCCCAGTATTGGATTAAACGCAATAAAAATTTCCTTAACCTTGTTTGAAGTTGTATTCAGGACAACAAACCTCATAACAAGACTAATTTGCTCGGTATGATTAGTATCTGGTATACAATCTAATATTATTAAAAAATATCTTGAACTGCGAACCATTTCTAAAATATTATTTCTCACTTTAGACGACAATAATTCAATTATTTCATTCTGTATTTGCCCGCCTAAACAATGAGTCATTTTAACACATTTTGTTTGGGAGCTACGCACTCGGATAACGTGCTGTCTCATCACTGAAATCAAAATCATCAAAAGATGCAATCATCTCAACAGCTTTTAGAAAATTTCCATTATCATGTTCGAAAAGTAATTTCGAAGAATCTTGAAATGCCAAGCATTGTGTAGATAAATACTTAACAATCGCAATAATTCTTTCCAACACTTCGCGCCAATATTTTTTTTCCGTTTCTAAAATCCGCAGGTGATGAGAATTAAGTTACCAGTCATAGATGTCTCCAACATTTTTTTTAAATTCACCCAAGTGTTCATATAACTATAAAGACATTTAAGTATGTATTTATATATATTTAAATCTCTTTGTATAACTATTGTGTAAAATTGACGTTTCGTGTCTCTTTATTAGCAAAGACAAGTGTTGCCAATCAGATACTCCATTTGTATCACAAAAAGTGTTAGGAGTTTTACAAAACAACTTACAACAAAAACAAAATACAGTATATTTAGAAATAAAGTAAATAAGCCAAGTTCCTTCGATTTTTTCTCCATTTGCTAGACTTCTTACAAAGTATTTGCACGAAAACTTTCTCTTATCTTTATTATCAGGAAAGCTAAAACTGATGTCTATCAAGAGAGGACTACGTTTAACCAATATTCTAGCTATCTCATTGGTGATTATTACGGGCCACAAACTGGGGCCGGATGGAATTATATCGACGCTAGCCTTATTAAAGCCTTCATCGAAAGTGTCACTTGCAGCAGTTATAGCAGCGGTAGCTGAAATTACCGAACTTCTGACACAAGCTAAATTACCTGAAGTGGATTGTTCAAGTGCTGTATACGAGGATGGTGTCATCGCTTCATCGGGCTCTGCATCAGTCAAAGCTGTTTTGCTGCTATAACCGCCGGCACTTATTGCAGGATCTGATGTTACCGTAGTCGCCTCTGTTGAAATTTCAGATGGTCCACTTACGGTTACTGATATTACGGATTTAGAATCTTGAGATTCGGTCGCATCGATAGTCTCCGTGTAATCTTCATTGTTTTGCAAGAAGTGCTTTAAAGATCCAGCCATTTTTTTCCTTTCTTGTAGTCTCATGAAGGTCTCTTTCATTTATCCTGAAAAAACAAATAAACAATTAGTACTTATGGGAATTAGGAATTAACTTCTAAAGTACTCACAATAATAAGCACCAAGTTTGCATATTGCTTATTTAAGTAAAAAGCAATTTGTTCGAGCCCTTTCAGCTTAAACCCTTTAAAAAATAAAGGCAGAAAAAGTATTAAACTAATTTGATTTTATTGCCCTTAAAAAACCTACAAAATGGTTTTTTTAAAAAGATCGATAGCATAAAAACTAAGTGAGTCGTGGATAAAAAACCAATTACTTTTTAAAACTCGTACAGGGTCTTTGACTATATTTATGTGCTTCCAAGAGCCTTTATTATTTCAGATAGAAAAAAAATGCTGTATGCAGAAGTTGTAGGTTTTTACCTATATTATCTATTAAAGTTATCAGATAAAAACAGGAAACAGACAGTAACAGGAAACAGATAGGATTCCTAAAAAGGGTTAATGTTGATAGTATAAAGTAAAGTAGGGAACACTTACCATTTTACAAAAAATCAAACCGTTGAAATTGCAGTCAGCAGGTATTCAGCACTTAATTTTTTAGAAAAAAGTGGTAAACAAAATATTACATAACACAACACTTGACAAAATAAAAATAATTTTAAATGTAAAAATTAATAGGATTACTTGTTTTTATGCACTTGTTGCACGATCCAGTGAACTAACCGGTTTAAAAACCCCTCAGGCGATGCATCGCTTTTATAGCTTTTATAGGAATCGGCAGTAACCGGATGATATACTTATAAAAATTTCGTGTGTATTTTCGTGTTTATTTATAACTAATCCTATTTAATTTCTCAACTTTTATTTTAAAATTAATTTTTAGTTTTTTTTTGCAAATTTTTGCAATTTTGACCCTGGGTTTTGGCGCCCATAAAGGATGGTGCCCGTGTGCATTGCACACTTTGCACATATTGTAGCGACGGCCCTGTATGAAGGCACCCGTAGACACGCGGATGGTCGTCGTTGTCTACGCGTAGCCAAAGTATGGACAGGTCCGAACCTTCAAGACTTCCGAGGCGTTGAGAACAAAGAGTCCTCTCCGGCGTATACGCAAACTCCAGCCCGAGGCACAAAGGAGTGTTCCAGTTTGTACCCCGGGTAGGAGAGATACGAAGCATCAGCCGGAGAGGACACCTGCGTCTCGGTCAGAAAGAGCAGAGCCGGCCTCGCCGTCTCGAGATGGTAGTGGACGGCGTTTAGGTTAGAATGAAGTCCCCTGATATTGCAGAAATTCACGGATATCGTGGCAGGGGTTGCCTTGGTCTTGTTGAGTTGTTGTCTGGAGCAGAATTTTGCCTCCCCCAGAATACGCGGGGCAGCATGAGCACCCGTGGATGGTCGTGGATACTCAGCGAGGAATTCTCCAGGGGTGCTGGTACCCTCCTGAGGTAGATCTTCACTTAATTCCGCTACCATATTAAGGAGGGGGGGGGTGGAGTTGGGCCTCCGGCCACCGGAAGAAATGCGGAAGCTGAGCTTCCACTTCACGCCGGTATTCTGTGAGGTCGTGGTACCACCCCGGTTTGAGCCAGTCCATAAGTGCAACAGCAAAGCTTCCGCGTGACTCTACCATTGATAAATGTGTATGTTAAAATAATTTTTTTCTGTTAATTGTATTATTATTATTAAAACATAAGTTCCTCCAATATTTGTTTCGCGTTATGCCGCGGACAAACGGACAGACTGAGAGACTTAGCAGAACTATAAGCGTTCATTGTTGTGTTACTACGGAACCCTTAAAAAAATTTGCCATGCTGACCAACTAAAGAGATGATTTTAATTGTTCGAGTGCATTTTGTTCATGCTTGTGATTTTTTTCTCTTTTTCTTTGGGGAACTATCAATATAAAATATCGATATGGTAGCATTGCAATTAATTTTTGTCCGTCATACACTCATTACTTTTTTATGTTGATGTATTTCACCTATATGTGTCCATAAAATGTAATGGTGTTGGAGATTTAGATTTGTGTGTGCCATAATGACACAAAATTTTATTGAGTAGGTGTGGAGTACTGCCTGTGTTCCTCGCCCCGCACTAAAAGTGACAGACTTTTTTGTTCGTAGCATTAGGCCCATTACTCGTCCAATGGGTTGAATGGTCTAAGGGCTCTTTATTTTTCAAACTTGTCAAAATGTGCAGTGATTACGATGAGATTAAGCGTGATGATGACGTGCAGACATTCGATAGTATCCTTTTTAGATTTAAGAGAAGGTTACGTATTTGTCTCTATATATAATATTTTTCTTGATTACTTTTTGTTAGTGTTAAATTAATAAATTATAATATTATTATGCTATAAACACTTTTTTGGATTGTAGTTAAGGTCAACGCCATTATAATAATTCTTAGAAAACTTATAACTACGGTCTGTTCGTGTACAATATTTAATTATATAAAGTAAAAAATGAACTTAGTACACGAGATAGTAAGTTGCCACAACACTCTCTGTATTTTAAGCAAAGGTGTATCTATATTTGACGGCTCCGTGGCGCAGCGGTGAGTTACAGTGCTAAGGGCCGCGGATTGGGATCCCGCACGGAATAAGTATTTGTATGGCCTACCAGAAATATTTCCGTGTCTGGATGTTTGTCCTTGTGAAATTTATGTTTGTAAACTGCCTTCACGATACAGGAGAAATCCTAGTGTGGAGATAACATTATTTAAAAAAATAGGTAAAAAAGAAGGTTATTAATGCATTGTCACATTACACGTATTATTTAATAGAAAAATTAAGAGAGCGATTAGAATTAAGTTACATAAATAGTATTTCAATTCTATTGATACTTTAATAACATAGAATCAGTATTAATCTTAATTAGGAAATAACTTTTATTATTTGGATATTATAATTTTAGAATTTTAATTATAACAAGTGAAGGCTCTCTGCATTTATTGTTTATAAAATTAACAAAACAATTATCAAACTATTAAAAATCAAATATTTTTGTTACTGTTACTAGGATCAAAATGCATCAAAAAAATGGAAGTGCTTCTGATACGCTTCACTTTTACCATCTTACTTTCGAAAATTAAATCTGAGTACTATTCGCTAATCAAATAAAACAAACAGCAAATGAAAACTTACAAAAAGTATAATAGATGGTGGTCGATTATTAGAATTATTCATGGATTGATTAATCGATTATTTTTAGTCGGTTACGGGCGTCACTAGTCCATGTCACAAATTAAAAAATTAAAGTAAAATAATGTCTTTGGCTCATCGTGGGACGCTCTTAGTTCCGTGCTGTGCAAACTATTTTTTATAAATATTAGTTCCAAAGAATTACTGATTAGTTTGTGGGTTTCCATATCGTTGTACGTATTATTAAGATGAAATCTTTTATAATTTTGTGTTATTTTTATCATTATTTCGTCATTGTTTCAGAAAATGTCTGGCATAGCAAGTGCACGTTTAGCTGAAGAAAGAAAAGCTTGGCGCAAAGACCATCCTTTTGTAAGTAAGCGTAGACAGAAATTGAAATGTTAATAACTTAGTAAAACTGTTGAGCTTTTAATTTTTTTGTTTTCAGGGTTTTGTGGCGAGGCCTATGAAAAATCCCGACGGCTCTTTAAATCTCATGACATGGGAATGTGCTATCCCTGGAAAGAAGGGGGTCAGTAAATTGTTACTTTTAGAAGTTATTTATCGTGCTGTATACCGAAATATTTTCTCTTGTTTTATATTAATTGAATTTAAGTACTTATAACACTGAAAATGAATATTGTTTAGTTGTGCATTTTTTGTATTTTACAACTGTTATTTATTTTAAATTTTAAAGGCTATAGAAAATGATGTCAGCCTTGACACTAGATGATTTGTTATGACAATTTCTACTATAATAGATATCTTTCATGTCTATTAACTTGATAGGGAATTTTGTTATGTTTAAATCATGCTACTTATATCCCCACCATTTGCATTTTTGTACTGGCATATAAGAGAATCTACTACCTTAATTTTTAAATTATATATTAATAATATTTTTAAACAGATGTTTCTTTAATTACATCAATTTTTTAATTTTCAGACACCATGGGAAGGAGGTTTATATAAATTGCGAATGATCTTTAAAGATGATTATCCATCCAGTCCTCCAAAATGCAAGTTTGAACCACCTTTGTTCCATCCAAACGTATATCCTTCTGGTACAGTGTGCTTATCACTACTTGATGAGGAAAAAGATTGGCGTCCTGCAATTACCATTAAACAAATACTTCTTGGCATTCAAGATCTTTTAAATGAGCCTAACGTTAAAGATCCTGCACAAGCTGAAGCATATACAATTTACTGGTTAGTATACAAAAATATTTTGTCTGCTTTATGTTTATAATTATACTGAATCAGCGAACCAAAGTAGATCATGGCCTCCAAAACTAAAAAAATTTAGTTTAGTTTACGACAGGTTGTTTTCCGCAACTCCACATCTAAGCGCATATTTTGCGTGTGGGCAAGAAATATTTGATTATTTGAGCCATGAAATCTCCCTGAAGAACTTTAACAGCCCTTTGATGTTGTAAGCAACTTCGGAGAGCGATCTCGGTGTGCTGAGATGCTTAGAGCCCTGTATGCATCGACCTCCGGACATGTCAGCTACATGTGAGCCACTGTTTCTTACTCCCCCATACATGCCATGCTCTGGAGGCTATCTGTAACATCTATGGTAAATAAATATTTGTTAAAGGAGCCATGTCCTGTGGTAGCACTTGTTGCTACCCTGATCTGTGACTTGTTCAGTATCATTAGAACCTTAGTTAGATGACTGTTTATTTCGGGCAGGGAATCTCTAGCTTGTCTACCAGTCCATGAGATTTTTCCAAAACTGAGCATGTAGATTAGTAAAGTTTCTATGTACCAACCAGTGAACGAACATAACCAAAGGGGATTGGTATTATTGGTTCCGGCCCTATAGTTGCCCTATGGTGGCCCGATCCCTTTTGGGCAGTTCAACTGCTGCATCGTTGCTCTAGATCCACTGTGTCCCTTAATCCATTGCAGTCACATTGTTGTGCTTACATACCTCATTTAATTGTTGATAGCATTCATATATTAGTCCCGAGTTCGCCACATTACAACAGAGCTTGTAGTACTGCCATACTGTCGGTCAGTATTCTGATGGAGAAGTCTTTTACCTTCCTAGTATCTATTGCTATGGCCGCTTGGATGATACCCGTGCATTCAGCCTGAAAGACAATGTTATGGGTACCCAGCGGTGTGCATATGTGGATATTAACCCCTCAAGCGCCATAAAAATCTCATGCAGTCGTATGCGCCCAGCAAATCCCAAGGGCTCGTAAGCGACCGCACCCACCCACAGCACTTAAAACCATTAAAACTTATATTTAGAGACTACTTTTCTATGAAGAAGTTTAGTATTATCCGCTTGATTGCTTGCATAAAAAAAATTGGTAGCTTACTTTGCCAGTAAGTCGTGACTGTGTTTCTCACTTTCACACTCGAGAGGAGCACTTCAAATATTTTAAATTTTATGAATAGCCATTGAAATAAGAAAAGAAAATACGTATGTTATTCTATCAAAATATGATTACAATAATATTTTAGAGGTGTTGAAATCACAAGTACGAGCCATTTTAGTGACTTTTTGTAAAACATCAGGTTTATCAAAAAAATAATATCGATAAGTATATGATTATTTATTATATCCTTAAACTTAATGAATTACTTGATATATTTATCTATATTATAAAACGATTTATATTTAAATACGTAGTAAAAATATTAAGTGAGAGATCTAGGCTGTTACATAAAAACTTATATTATAATATGATGAACAATTTATAAAATTTTATTACTTAAATCGAATAATTATATTCAAATACTACCACTACGACTATTTTGTATTTAAAGAATACACCATAATTACGATAATGTAAGCTATAGAAAATTATGTTTAGATTCGATTCATTCTGAGTATTTTTAAAAGTCGAATTTATCACATTTTTCATACAGTATTTGCAAAAATATTACATTATTACAAGAAAACACTAATAAGACATTAATTTGGTATATAAATACTAGCAAAAATCAATAAAATTCAATACCCACGGCATATTTTATCACCTCGTTAAATCCACTCAAGTGTCACTTCACTCACTAAACTTTAACTAACAAAGTTTCGATATTTTTCTTCCAAGAGGTTGGTAATTTTGATCCAAATCTATGATTTATATATTTGTTTTTGGTTTTAATACATAATAGTTAGCTGCGGAATCAAAAGAATACTTCGTCGCTCTGCAACCACAGTTGCAAAGAGCAAAGTTAAGCATTCTGTTTTTGCAACTGTGGTTCCAAAAAGCAAACGAGCGGTTATAATATCCATACAAAATTCTCTATCTTGTGGTCTAAACAAAGTCAGGTTTTACTTCATTACAAAAAGATTTTATTGCATTTTGATAACAAAAAAATATATACCAAGCGAATACCGCCAGCGTGAAAATCACAATTATTTCAATATATATTACACAAAATTATTTACATAAAAAGATAAATTATATTAACACAAAAACGTTCATTACAATTTTATAATAAAACACTATACTAAAACGCTAATAAAACACTAGAAAAATCCAAAAATCAGCACAATAACATTCACGCGAAAATGGCCTACGAAATAAACATGTAGATTATAAATAAATATTCATAGGATAACAGTTTTTTATTCCACTAGATGATAGAGTATTTCATATTGATTATATAATGCCAAACTTTTTCATAGAAAAGTAGTCTATATATAAGTTTTTATGGATTAAAGCTGCTGATTTGACGGAATATGGCCGCGGTCTCATGAGACTGCTTGGGGGTTGAGAGGTTAAGGTCTTCAGAGAAAGTTCCAGATCCTATACCTTTATTTGTCTTAAAACCATTCATGAAACTCCAAGCTCTTTTGGGTTTAATCCCTCTGGCTGGTCAGTTTCATTTAATTGTATCTTGTACTTCTTATCGAATACCAATTGTTTTGGGATCCTTTTGTACTTGGCTTGTAAGATAGGAATTTTTGAGTAATTTCTATCAATTATACCTGTATGGGAGACTCTACTCTTACTTAAAAGATTTAGGGTCTTGAGTCTAATAGCAGCTGAAGCTTTCTTATTGTGGTGGCTTCATTATTTTGATCCAACATACCAGATAATCAATGTGATCATGGGCCAAATTACAGTTTTGTACAGCCACAGTATATCAATATATAATTTTTGGTGTCAAATTCCATCTTCTGCCAATCATGCTTCTGCATTGCCAGAATTATACTAGCTTTGTTGATTTTGTTTTCTATGTGTTTATTCCAGTTATGTTTACTGTCCAAGGTAAGACCTAATTATTTTATCTCAGAGGATAGCTGGAGTTTTGTGCTGTAAAGACTTGGGAGATGATAGTTATTCAGCATTTGTTTTTGTGTGAACATTACTAGAACCGTTTTGTTTGGATTAATGGTTAGTTCATATTGTCTGCACCATCTCTTCACTATACGGAGAGCCGCTTGTGTCAGGTCGCACACCATGCTTGCTGTCTTTCCAGAGACCAGTATCGTCAAATCATCTGCATAAATTAATTTGCTGATGAGTTCATTAATGAACATACTAAAAATGTTATCCCTTCCTGCCCTGCGTTCATTATCTTCAGTTAAATGTCTTAAGGGTGTCCAGGTTTTTCTATCTCACCACTTCATTGATACCTCTAGTCCAGTCCAAGGTATGCCCTCATACTACATGACACATCTTCATGTACACTCTTTGTTTTGCAACTAGGTCTTTGATTTCCTTATTCCACCTTAGTATTGAGATGGTCCAAAAAAAATTGTTAATATTTTCCTCTCCATTACAAAGAGTTTATTTCCCTTCTTTATTATAGGTATGCAACATTCAGAACCTTATGTTGAGATTATTCTGATGATAATTTTTAGACTCTGATAGCTTTGATACCAAAAGCTTATGGAGTGCCGCTGAACTTCTTCAAGTGCCTTTGATCTGAGGATCTATTTTGATTTCCAATTTCGTATTGGCTGTTGCTGGTATCTCACTGTGGTGCATAATGCTTAAATTTTTCTATATCCTTGTAGGTGGTATCTGTAATAAGGTTTTTTCTTTTTCTTCTTAGTTTCCATGCTCTGTTTTCTCACTATTAACTATAATAGTAACTTTTCATATTTAAAGAGTATGAACAAATGGGAAAAAACTGATATGGTCAATAAATAAGAAGGTCCAGCTTCTGGTTATCATATTTTTCCCAAGTGTTGCAGTTTAAGCCCTTCTAGGAGTATGACACGATCTTTAGTTCAGGGAATTCTACCACATTCCAGGCTGTTAGGGCGGGCCTAAAATATGCTGATGCATTAGTTAATGGCCCTCAGAATGTTCCCACTGTAGTAAAACAACAATTTAAAGATATTTAAAAGAAAAAAATATCTCCCAAATTTATAATGTCCTGTCCTGTTATAACATTGTTTGAGGTGGGTAAATTTGTGTGACAAATTAATGTCAAGTTGCAGTTAATTCGACACATTCGTAGCACTGCAAGTTCAGCATGCATCGGTCTTATTAATACTGCTGTTCAACTTATACAAATTGTCTGCTTTTAAAAACAAGTCCTTATAAGCTAACCAATTCAACAAGGAGTGCCAGATCATCAGCATATTCTCCAAAGAGAATCTTTCACTATACTCCTCTTAATTATTTATCTTTATTACCTGTGATAATTTGTCAAAAAACACTAAAAGCCTTTCTCTGAGTCTTACAATTCTAAGTGACAGGTGAGGTGTTTTGTGAAAGATAGATTTTGACAAACTTTGATAAATTTGGGTATTGTGTAGCAATAACTGCCCACCAAATATAAGGGTCACAATCGCGCACAATTTGCACTGACTTTACTTTTCGCTTCTTGTGATGCATCAAACGGCAATGTTCGGCAGAATATCCGGCGGCCGGATATCCGGCTATCCGGCAAAAAGACTAGCCGAATATCCGGCCAAACAGCTATCCGTTTCATCTCTACTAATAATTATTTAGTAACTTCAACTTGAAATTTCTGGTTGTCCTCATCTTTTTTAACTTTTTGTATAAATATTCTGCTTTTCTAGTTCTATAATTTTGCATTGCCCCTTAATTCCTTGATCATTATAACTATACATGTAGTAGTCGCTAAATCTCTTCAAAGGGTGCATAGCACTTTTTTTAGACATTTACGAGCGCGACACTGAAAGTACTGGCCACTTGTAAACGATATAATAAAAAATATATGTTCAAATTTTGGAAATGGAACTCTGCCAATATTATTGTGTTTAACAGAAAAAAGCGCTAGCAAGCGCTTGTAAGCAAAATGGCGAAACTAAACAGTTTTCGGCCAGGACACGTTTGCTAACTTCAGTAGCGCTGACACAATCCGCCATTTTGCTTATTTAATTTGTTTGTTTTGAAGTAGAGTTTATAAGTTGTTTTGTGCAATATTAGTTTTAAGTAATATTACATAATAAGCAATTTTACAGTAATATAAAAATTCGTAATTGGTAAGTTTTTAATACTTTACAAACATATATTTAAATTAGGTTAGGTTCCCCGGTTAAAACTAACTTCGTGTCCTAGAGGAAAATAGCTACTAACGATTTGATAGCGCTTACCGCTTACGATCGCCATTTTGCTTACAAGCGCTTGCGAGCGCTTTTTTCTGCCAAATGCACCCATGTGTATGTATTTTATTAATTTGTCATTTCGTCGCCTCAGTGATTGTTAGGCCAATAGACCATTTGAATAATTTTACAGGAGCAATGTTTTTTGTTTTTCTATGCTATGACTCAAATAAAGCCGTAATGTTCGGTAGTTTCCAAAACTATGGCACATCTGGATTTCTAATAATCTGTAAAAAATAAAAACTTTTGGCTTTAACATTGTGTAAAACCGGTTTAAAAATGGATATTGGACAAAAAGACGAAACTATAATTACGTTAATGGGTATACACTACATTCCTTGGGATGTTAGCCAAATAGCAACCAAAAGTATTATGTGCTTGTTTGCCCTATAGCCTTAATTCACAATACAGGCTGTGAAATTAAACCAATCCACTGCGCATCATTATTGTATGTTATAATAAAATTCTCTTGACTAGGACCTTATCTAACAGACCTGAATTAAAATTAAATGTTGAATTTATAGATATATACTACCGGTGCCCTGTAGTTTCACTCGCGTATAATTTTAACGAAAGGTACTGCCGTTTTGTGTTAGTTTGACAAAAAAGTGATTTTCGTGTGGGAAAGGAATTTATGTGCTGAATTGCTTCTTCTATTTTGCTTTCGGCGGTCTGTTTTTTTTTTTGTGTTTTCCTTTAGAGGGTGTGGGAATCAATTTCAATTTGTTGTTGTAAAGTTTTTTGTAGAAATAATAAATTCTTTAAGGCGATGTATCCAAAGTCCCACAAAAAAACTTCTGACACACCTTCACTTGTTGCTGATTTTTCAAAAAGAAGTACTGAAATGAGAACTTTCTTTTGCTTCTGTTCTTTTCCTTTGTGAGCGTACCCTACATGTTAATTCGTTGTAATATTTGTTATTCCGGGTATGGTTTAATGAATTTTCAACTTTTCGTCACTTCTAGTGTGAATCTGTTTTGCTGGACATTTATTCTCTTTGATATTTACATATTCTTCAGCAGCTTCTCTTTTTTCCTTGCAATTCTCTTCCAGTTTTTAGGGCATCTTTTTCTCTTTCTTGAGGATTTTTGTTCTACATCATTCGCAGCGTCATTAGCATTACTATCAATAATATGATAGATATTTCTAGTTTTAGTTGTGAACTACCAGGGTAAACAATGTAATTTTTTACTGGCGTTATAGCGCGTTTTTCGGTAAATGTTTGTTCGCCTTCTTCTTCATAATTTAAAGCGTGTCCGCTGCCGTTGCTGCAAGCAATGACATTTTTTGCGCAGTCCGCGGTAAGTATTTCGTTACCTTCTTCAACGTTTCGGTCTCTTTACAGGCCATGAATAACTTTTTCCTCACTCTGTCAACCCTAAAAAATAAATTTTTAGTTTTTATTATTTAAAATTTGTATTATAGTTTAGGTAACATTTTAAGCTTCTTCAAATAGTTATTTTTACTCTACTATATTATAAATGTGAAAGCTTGTGGGAATAGATAGATGTATTTTTGTTACTTTTTCGCGCAAAAACTACTGAACGGATTTGGATGTAACTGCACCCGGATGAATTACATCCTGGATAACACAGGCTACTTTTCCCTCGTGAAACCGCAGGATGAAACTAGTACTTTATATTTTATCTACATATACTTTTCGATTATCAACCTGCGATTCTGTTTAGTTTTTAACCGACTTCCAAAAAGGAGGAGGCTATGTATTCGATGCGTATTTCTTATTTACAAGTGATCCTCAGGTATTTTGGTTTCCTAGTGTGGGGGCCATAAGTAATTCTATCTTGTTATTGTAATTTCTTTGTCAAATAAGTTATTTTGTGTTTGTATTTTTTTGTGTTACCAGTTGTGCCCCACAGTTTCACCCGCGTAAGTCATCTATCTATGTATCAAATTTCATCAAAATTTGTTCAGCGATTTAGGCGTGAAAGCTTAACAAACATTCAAACAAACTCACTTTTGCGTTTATAATATTAGTAAGTACATTTATACGCTCAGTTCAACATATTAAAAGCCCCTAAAATCCCTGAAACCCCTTCCAACCCTGAATCACTTAATATCGCCTTCAAACGCATACATACCAAATAAATAAACTGAACAAACGAACAGAACAAACAAACAAACCCATAGTTCCCGTTCCCATAAGAAAAGTAGAAATTTCCACTGAGAAAGGATATCCCAAATTATTTAGTATCAAATTAACTATCTTTAATTGAAAATCTTGTCTAAATCTAGTCGACCCAGGGATTCGTCCGTTTGAAATACAAACAAACTCTTCAGCGTTGTATGACAAAAGTATAATTCTGAACCATCCTGTATTAAAGACACAACGTGACCTAAAATAATACCACAATGACTAAAATCAACTTACATTTCGTAGTATGCAGTACTGCGATTATACCGTTTATCACAAATGGTCCAGGACATAATTTTCAAATTATAGACACTTTTCACCTTGTTTCACTTGTAAATTCACTGAAAAACTTAAAAAATCTCGCAGTTCTAACACCGTTTCGCGTCGCGATAGATTGTAAATAAACAATATTGCGGACCAGACAGGTGTGACGTCATGAGCGAGCGGGCCTGTGATTGGTTAATTTGAGGATATACGGCAAACAAGCACTCGCTGGGAATTCCGCTATTGAAATGTTGGTTCATTTGTGGTTGTAATCCATACAAGCTCGAAAATTAAAATTGTAACTGTGGATATTGGTTTTTTAATATAGTCTTTTACTCGTTTATTGGTATAGTTACACGAGTCATTCTTGATTTAGATTGTGCAGAATTTGATTCTTAAGCATGCTACATTCAAAGGTCATTTTCGTCCAAATTGGTCTGTTGGCCAAACAAGCACTGAGGCGACGATTTGTTATTTGTTTACGATTTGGCGGCAAATTGGAAATTGTCTGTGTCACGTCAGCATGAATTTAACGCGAGAAAATTTGCGTACAATGATTTTTTATGACTTCGATGTCGTTTAATTCAACAAGAAAGTTATCATAGACTTCGACTGTCCCCTGTAACACACTGTATAGCTAAAGCATTACCTCCAGTACCAGCAGTACCTCGTCTAGACGTTTTTCTTGAATTTAACATCTATTTGGACATATGGTAGGGTTGAGATACTTCTTTAACTACATATTTTTACTGTTACTATGTCAAAATGCACATCATTTGTTTTTTCATTAATCAGTAACTTTACAAAAAAATGGATAAAAGATGGATTGTTTTATAATGTTCTTAGGATTTAATATTTCTATTTTATAACCCAAGAACTTTTTTTTCAGTCAAAATCGGTTAGAATATGACAAACGTGTTCGAGCACAGGCGCGTGCCATGGCTGCCACAGAATAACCTTTATAATTAAGGCATCACGGTCATCCTGCAACATAACATCATAAATGAAAACACCAAATAAAACCAATTGAGAAGGATTCTGCACTATGTTTTTAATATGATAGGTGATGCACAATCTATCAAATAATAAAGTGATTGCTGAAATTGGTAAAAGTAAGAAGAGACAGGCAACAATTTTTTTGAGAATAAAAATGCATCATTAAAATAGAATATAGTGTAATTTTTTTCCCAATTCTTGTTGTAGTGATATTTTCCGTGGTTAATTTTTAGACACAAACTGTTAAAGTATTTACTGATGGAATTTTGAAATCATCAACTATCAGTTAATATTTCAGCATGTTATCTCATAAAAGAAGACAAATTCAAAATTCCAGTTTTAGCATCTTTAAATATTTTTTGTGAGTACTACCTACTCACATTCTATAACTATGGACTTGTCTTGTAAGGTTTTATTTATTTGTGAACTGCTCACATTTGTCATTCAGTATTTCAAAATAAACATAACATAATTGCTTTATTCAGAACAGCTACAAAGACTTTGATTGAATATTAAAATTTGTTTATATGATGTGTAAATATGTATATGCACTACAAATTGTATTACACCTAAAACATTTTTAGCAGTTCTGTAATAATGATTATAAAATAGAAATGATGTGTTATTACACACATGTACTACAAAGAGAATCTGAATAATTATTTTAACTTTTTGTATCTCTATGTTAGGCTCATAACTAATAAATAATTTTTCTAAAGTTACCTATTTTCTTTTATTTTAATTTAAGTAGAGAATGACTGGCACAACATTAATTACATTTTTAATTAAGGAATTAGCTTGCTGATATCCACTGAGCCGATTTTAGATCACGATAAAAGTATGAACTAGTAAGAGTCTGAGGTTGTTCCTATAAACATTCTATATCAATTTGTAATAAATCATCATCATCATTACAACACTTGACAATTCCACTGCTGAACATAGATCTTCCCCAAGGAATGCCATAAAGCAGTCCTGAGCGACCTGCATTCATTTACTACCAGCATATCTTAATATGCTGTGAATTACAATTTGTCGTATCCTTGCGATATAAGCCATCTCGTCTAACCACGTGGGTGTTGTCAGAGTGTATACTATATAAAAATATAAATGACTGCAATTGGTTTACACCCTACGGTGTGGGTGACGGCCGTCTTTTTGTAGCCGCTGTGTTATGGCCGTTACATTACAGCACTGTAATCTTAGGAAACCAGAGCTTTACGATCACTATAATATGACAACACCCTAATATCTTAGGAAATCAGAGCTTAATACTTTTTGAAGTTATTGTGTCAAATACGGTTTTCTAGGACTAGGAAACCACCCTATCTTGTTTATATAGTCATTGTTATAGTGTCGTCATTCACCGCTTTATTATGTCCATTATATAGCTGCACCAAAATCCAAGGAAACCAGAGCAGAAAACGCTGTTATTGTTTATGTGAGCGCTTAGTCAATGTGTTCTGAAGTTTATTTCAAATATGTACTTATGTAACTAAAAACAGTAAATGTAAAAGAAAATACAAGTCGCGGGGATAGCTGCGCATGTGTACTGTCGCGCATGCAATCATTACTTTAATTATTTAGTAGGATTTAGCTATTAATTAATTAAAGTAATCATTTGTTTTATTTTTCCACTTCCACAATAACATGGCCGGTCAATACTGTATCGCTTTTAAAATTAAAAATTAATTTCTAAAAAATTACTTTATCTTGCTTGAAGAATGATTGTGACATTGTGTATGTAAAATGAACAGGAAGGCATTTCGATGACTATTTTGATCGCTGCAAGACCTGCTGTGTATGATTCAGGGGTGTAACCGCAGTTGGGCACACCGCATACACATATAAATACAGGCGGGTAGTCTCTCCGCAATGAAATTTTGGCGGAAACTTGACCGCCGGCGGATTGCTGCTCTTGTACCTAATATCGTTTAGAAAATGACTGCCTCGTTGGTCTAGTGGTCGTAAGTGTATGCTATGCTGATCATGATCTCGCGGTTCCAAATCATGGGTTGGGTAAAAATCAGTTATTGGGTTTTCTGTCAAGAAATTCTACGTAGCAGCCCGGAGTCAGGAACTTTGCGGCAGTTTTTCACCCCCGTGCTGCGAAAAGCCGGTAAAGTTGTTGGTCTTGCGCCTGATCTGTCGATGGTGTCGGGTTTCTGTCCCATCACACCATGGAAGAGGTATAGAGAGTGCACCTCTTATGGAGTGTAAAGGTAAGGAGAACAGGCTGTAAAAAAAGAGTCCGTAGGAAAGCGCTAAATAAGGGTGGCGCCACTAGCTAGAGTGTAAATTTTATAATTTTTTTATTGCACAGACTCACTTCTTTTTATAATAATTATTTTATTGTTTTCAAAATTTTTATTTTCAAAATCATTCTCAACGTGTTTTATGGGGACTTTTTCTAGGTTATAGAATTTAATATAATGTATGTATGTGAATGTGTACATGAGTATATTGTATGTATGCATATTTATCTAAATGTTAGTATGTGTAATGTGTATATACTTGCCCATATGTATAAGTGTTTAATTATAATATGGTTATGTATATGTGTGTGCTCACATATGTTATTATTATCCCATTGAAGCATAAATAATTTCCTAGGTCAGCCATGACAAACTTTTTAAATTAAGTATTGTTTTTGATCAAAAGTTTTGTAATTTTTTTTTCTTTTCAACTTTTCATACTTCTGATTTGTGCTAAATTTTGGAAAGTGGATGAACATATTATATAAGATTTTTTTCACAGAATGGAGGCTGTTGTTATCCCTAATAAATAAAATAAAATTATATTTACTAAATTATTTTATACAACGTGAGTAGTTGAGGTTTTAAATACTGCAGTTTCATCAACTACTTTAGTCACCACAAATATTAAATTCCTCAACTCAGCACATTTCACTTCGTCGACAACTGCTAAGATCATTTCATGCTGTCGTGCATTCTGTACACATTTGTGTGACAGAATCCTGTTCCGCACAGATGTTAGCCATGTTTTTAACTTACCGCTAAGAAAATTGAAAATTTTCAAAAATAGGGAAGTTATTGGTTTCACCCCGATTTTTGAAAATCGAGTTTTCATTAGATCTCGACGTTTTGTGATCCCAGGAAGCTATTCCGACAAATTTTTCACGTGAACGTCCGTAAGGATGTATGTATGTATGTGTGTGTGTGTAAGTATGTAAACCTTTCATAACTTTTGAACGTATGAATTGATTGAGATGCGGTTTGCGGCGTTCTAAAGATCTCAATGAGGAATAGATTTGGTGATAATATGAACTGATTCTTTATATATTACATATTCTTTTATTAAAAATGTTGAAAATCTGTTTTTTTTTTTTTTGGAATAACTAAAGGGCTTTACCGATCGATTTCAAAAACTAATCAGCTCTTAACCTCAAAAAATGACGAATGCCGTTTCGAAAATAAAAATCGGTTCATTCGTTCGTGAGATATCGAAGGAGAAAGAATAAAAAGAAACGTTTCTTTAACATAACTTCGAGATTTTGGCAACATAGGAGTGCTTTGCATTTGAAATTAGCGGGAAGTTCCAGGGGTGGCCTGTAGGGTCAACCAATTTTTTTAATAGAGTAAGGGTGACAAACGAGAACACAGTCCATCCATCCTCGATTAAGAATCAAAATGCTGATGCGTTGTCACTCCTGAGTTTTGAACCTGATAGTTGACATAGATGGAATGCCTCGTTTCCAGTAAAATGGTTAAGTACCCAATTCTCTATACTCACCATACGAAACACAGCAGCATTGTGCTGTTATTTTACGCTAGTATTTTGTGAGAGCATGATCCTTCCTCGGTCAAGCCGACCCGTTCGTGCCATAGTTTATGCTATAACCATAACGTAGCTGCAGCATGGCTCTACCACGTAATAGTTTCCGTTGAGATTGGCCAACGTGACCGACATTTGGTCTTCAGGACAATATAAAGGTTGAAAGTCGATTCTCAGTGGTGTCGTCTGCATAGGCTTCTTATGCCTTGCAGGTCTCGGGCCTCGGGGTATGCCCCCATTGCCCGGATTTTCCTCATGGCCTACGGCTATGGGCCAGTCCTGGCAGCTATAAATTTGGCATTGTCAGATTCCTTATTCCTTAATGGAGTGGAAAAAATAGGTGTGGCCTAAATCGGTTAATCCATGATCGAGAGAAGTTGTCTGAAGTTCACTAAGGTAGGTGGTCGAAGTTGGCTAATGTCCGAATTTTCCACATGGCCTACGACTACGAGCCAGGTCTAGAGGCCACAAATTAGACTTTGTTGGGTTCCTTGGGACTTCGTAGAGCAGAAAAAATTGGTTTCAGCGTAATCGGTAAAACAAAAATAAAGGGAGGTTGTCTGGTTGTGTTGGCCTATCTGCGGCGTTGTGGGCTTTACTCAACTCTCTAATCTATATAGAGAGGAGTTCTCTTGGATAGGGTCACCGCCCGCCCGGGGGCCGTGTGTGCAACGGCGCGAAGCCGTTGAGGTGTTCGTGTGGCCCGTTGTCGACGCGGTCGAACATACCGCGCGCCAAGCGGGCCACAAAGTCTCGGATGGTCTCGACTTTCAGATCGGCCGCTATGACGTCATTCCGGACGTAGCGACCTGCTCCGACGATCGTCATAGCAGGAGGGACACTGGTCTGTTCTTGCAGTTTGTATAGTAATCCTGAGTGCCACACCCTGTCGAACGCCTTCTCAATGTCGAGAAAGACGCCCAACGATATGCGGCCACGGTTGTATTCTGCCGCAAGCAGGTGCAGTACTCTAGTCAGCTGTGTGACTGTAGAGTGACAACTCCTGAATCCGTGCTGCTCCGCCCGAAGTTGGATGCACGGACGGAGACGTCTCAGCAGCAATCTTTCTAGCAGTTTAGCTATGTACGGTAATAGCGTGATCGGCCTGTAGCTGGCAGCTCTACGCCTGTCCTTCCCGGGTTCCAGCAAGACGATGACTCTGCCT